AGTGGCAGAAGAAAGGCAGAGAAATATTTTCTTTTTATATTCTATGAATTTTCAGTTTTACAAGTATATTTGCCATTTCAACATTCTTCATATGTACAGTTCAGTAACATTAAATACATTCGTCACGTTATTCAACCATTACCATTAACAGTTCTACTTTTGTAATTTTAAAAAACCCTAATACAGTATAAAAGTGAAAAGCAAGAAGATGATTTACCTAAATGAGAAAGCATGATCTCAAGAACCCAGCAAGGATCCTTTAATAACAAATGGCAATGAGTTCTGTAGAGAATAACCTCTATATGGTGAAAGTACTCAGAACCATGCCATTTGAGAACCGGTGGGAAAACCTTGAGCTATTTGGCCTGCACCAGACCAAACCAAACTCAGTGCTGTTGAGTCCAACCCAACTCATAGTGACCCCTCCTTGGTTATGGTTTCTGAGGCAGTATCACTGCAGAAGTTGATTGCGCAACCTTCCTTCCAAGGAGTGGCTGGTGGGTTTGAACTGCCAGCCTTCTGGTTAGCAGTCAAATGCCTTAGGCACTATGCTACCAGAGGAGATGGAGAAAATGGGATGGGAACGAGGAGAAGGAAATGATTGCTGTATGGAAATGTTTAAAATGTGGTTGTGTCAGCAATGGCTAGTTGTCACCTAATATTCATTTTCTTCTTCTCTTTCACAGTATAGTTGAATTCATGGTTATCCAGAATAAAGACTGCATTTTCCCAGCCTTCCTTACATCTAGATGTGAAAATGTAACCAAAATCTGCCCCTGGGACTGAATAGGATGTATATAACTACCAGTTTGCAGTTTTGAAAGGAAGGGACATTCCCCAACATATATCCTAATTTATCCACCTGTTCTGTAGAAAGATAAGTCAGAATTACTCTACAACCCAAATTCTGAAACTAGGAAAAATATGAGTTCAGATCAATATAAGCAACTTTCTAATGAGCAGCATTATTTAGAAATAGAGTTTTTCCAGGAGGTGTTCAGTCTCTAATAATTGCAAATAGTCAAGCATATGCTATATGGGGGCAGTTTTTATAGCAAAGCAAACACAACTGCTGCCATGGAGTCAGATCTGACTCATAGCGACCCTCCTTGGCTTTCCGAGGCGGTATCACTACGGAAGCAGATTGCCCAACCTTCCTTCCGAGGAGTGGCTGTTGGGTTTGAACTGCCAGCCTTCTGGTTAGCGGTCAAGTGCCTTAGGCACTGTGCCACCAGAGCTCCTGCCTTAGGCACAATGCCACCAAATCTCCTAGTTTACACTAGAGCCCTGCATTTTCTAGTGATTTACATTAATAAAATAAAATTGAGATTCTAGCATCTCATTTTGGTCAAACACAGAATTGCTTTGAAATTTGAACTTCACAGAAGTATAGGATCATATACTAGTAGAAAATACTAATAAGATAGCATTGTCCAATTTTGCTTCTTATGTTAGAATAGATTCTAATAGCATCATCATATATAAGGAGCTCTGGTGGCACAGTGCCTAAAACATTTTGACTGCTAACCAGAAGGTTGGTGGTTGAAGCCCACCAGCCACTCCACACAAGGAGGACAGGGCAATCAACTTCTGTAAAGATTTACCACATTGGAAACCCAATAAGGATCACTAAGTGTTGGAATCAACTCGATGCTAGGGAGTTTGGTTTTGCTTAGCATCATTATAGATTCTACTCCAAACTGGCTACCAAGTCCTATCAATTTTGCCTCCCAAATATCTCCAAATCCATTACCACTTTTCCAGCTTTACTGCCATTGTTTCCTTCCATTGTTATTTCCTAAATGCCTGCAATATGCTAAGCACCATGCTAGGCCCTGAGGAAACAACACTGAGTAGGACTAAGCCTGTCTTCAAGAAAGAGATAATAAAATTACAATATAGTAAAATTTGTCCTGAATTCCACTCCACCACAATTTATACATACATTGTTATTACCGTTTGTATTATACTGTGTAATTGCTTGTTTTCATATCTATCTTCCTTCCTACAATGAGGAACTGTAAGTTTTATTTATCATTACTACCTCAGCCATGTCTCACCAGCAAATAATTAAGCTTTCAATGTTTATAGAGTTGATTGACTGGTTCAAATTTTAGTTAATATCTCCCAGCCATGTTAGGGGAGGCCATTCTTATGAATTTTTATGATGTATAGTAATTCACTGCACAATTCTGCAATTGCCTTTGAGATTTTCAGGCTGACTGAGCCTTCCTCTCACTGTATGTACATCAGACTGATCCACAACTTATCACCAATAGGAAGGACAGTGACTCCTATAGCTTCCTCCCTTGTAAGCTGCAATGACTATGGCTACATGGGAAGGGACTGCTCTCACAGAGTGGAGAAAGGGTGATAGCAGCACTGCCATCCTGGCACCCCCATGTGAGAGCTATAGTCATCAGAACCATGGAATGACTGAGCGTGTTTTCATACCTCTCACCCCGGAAACAATGACAGTAGCTCTGAAACTAGTTTGAAACCTGAACATCATGGCTTGTCTTTTTCTAAACTGGTGTCTGTGGGTAGGTTAAAATGATCCAATTCTAATTTCAAAGTATTTCTGAGTTAACCCAGAATGAGGCAGTGGAAAGTCATTATAATGCAGTGTTTCCCAATGTCTGAGACACATTCCACCAGAGGTTTGTTTGCAAGACGCAACCAGGGCTTTACACAAGGATTCTACATGGTACACAAATGAACATGTTTTAATTCAGTTAAGTAGGTATTTATTTAAGTTTGGTAATCAATTTTAAGAGTCATGTATTTATTTATAATTACCTTCTGTTTAAGGCAAGCAAAAAAAAATATATGTGATTTAAATTCATGGTTATATAAGTAGTAGTATAGACTCTATTACAGGACAAAAGCTGGGAAGCACTGTTACACCACATTCCTCATGCCAACCAGTGAAAATATGTCAGGAGAAAATGCTAACCTCAAAAGAAACCTTGGAGATCATCTAACCAATTCACTATTTTATTCACGTATCCATCCAATGAATATTTATGGGGCATTTACTAAGTCTCTGGCCAGAACTGCAGTGAATCAGACCATGACAGTCTAGTGGGAGAGACAGACACTAAATATACACACCGTAAATTAATTATAATGATCACAGTTTCCATGAATAAGTGCAGCACATAGGAAACCATTAAAAGAAGGGTGATGTTTGAACTGAATCTTAAAGGATAAGGAGAAACTATTCAGAAAAAGTAGGGTTTGAAGGTAGGGGTAGAGGCAAGTGGTATGAGGAGCAGAGCATGAATGAGACTGTGAGAGGGCCAAATCAGTGAAGGCCTTGGGGAACCTCTGCCTGTCATACCACAGAACAGCAAGGCACAATGCTATGTGCAGTATGTGCAACTGAATGTGGCTGGCTGCCAGGACATGCTGCAGAAACTGCCCTTGCCTTGCATGACAAATAGCAGAGTCCATTTAAAGCAATACAATGATATGCCATATTACTCATTTTACTAAAGGGCTAATTGTCCAAATAAAGTTTTAGACAGCATGACATGTTTATTGTGGTAGAATCTGAGTTGCATTTAGATTATCCCCCACCCCCATCAACTTTCCTAGGAGCTCTGGTAGCATAGTGCCTAAGGCACTTGACTGCTAACCAGAAGGCTGGCGGTTCAAACCCACCAGCCACTCCTCGGAAGGAAG